CTATGCCTTATAAAAAGGACTAAGCGGTCACTGCAAATATAATCCGGTTTACAAGTCCGGAGTCGAATCCCACAGAGAACTAAGGTTTAGCTACAGCTGTTCACTATCACCAAGAAGACAAGCTTGAACAATTCCTAACTTATAGATATTAAGATTCTTGTGTTTAACTAATTAACTAACAAATTAAAATAGTAAATTAACAACTAACGATACTGAGGGTTAGAGAAAAGATTAAGGAGGTCTAGAGATATGATTTCCCCAATTGTCGGAATCCTTCCCGCTATGTCTTCTATAATTTCGCCTAAGTATTTTCTACCGATCATGAGCACTCTTATTACCGTAAATCTCTCCCGAGTAATTACGACAATTTGCTAGACGCACTCTCCCGAGCTACGCTAGCTGGCTTTTAATACAGCTCACTTCAGATCGCACCTAAGGCTTCGTTATCCCTAATCCCACCTTTAAACCCTCGGTTATTGATCCCTCATATACTCTGGGAGTGGTGTTGTTCAACAATTACCTAAATATGCACTCTCTCCCGAGTTATGCATACTAAATAGGCACAGCTAATTGAGAGCTCTTCAATCAACCAGAATATAAACGTAGTTGAACAAATAGAGAAAAGCTATGGCTCAATTATATAAAAACATAACAAGAATTTATCCTACAAAAGGTTCTATCAAAGCTCTAGATAACAAATTAGCTATTCATAATAGTATGTAAAACTACAATACTAAAAGTCATAACCAATAATGAAAAATAGGAAGAGGAAGGAAAAAACTCGTAGAAGAATTCTCCGCCTTGCTCCCAATGTGTTCTTTCCTCCGAGGGTGTTGTCTAACCCTAAAGTAGTGTCTCTCCGCCTCCTTAGGTCTAATTTGTGTCCAAAATATGTCCTCTCTTGTTCTTGGCCGGCCTCCTTTGTTTAATATAGGGTTTAGGACTTAAAATCCCTCCTTGAAATTTTCGCTTCCTGCTGCGGTTTTGCCGCGGTCGCGGTGGAACCGCGGCCAAACATGCCCTCTGATTTTTCAGTTGTCCGCAATCATCTTCTACCGCGGTTCTGCCGCGGTCGCGGCAAAATCGCGGTTTTTCACCCTGTTCCATTTGGAATTTGGAAAAGCGTAAAACATGAAAGTTGTAGCCTTTTGAGTTAGCTTTCCAAACATATATTGTGGAGCCCAAATGGAATTCTGAGCAAAAAGTTATGTCTATTTTACTAGACAGTGCATAATATGCCTCCTCAAGTCTTCGTTCGTACTTAATTATCAAATTCGACCCCCGAACACGATCCCGACTTAATTCCTTGAGCTTTTACTCAGACTTCAAAGCTTCAAATCACTTAAATTCATTCCATAACATCTATATAGCTCGGAATCACACCTACAAGGCATAAAATACACAATTAGTGCAAAACACTAGCGATTAAAGCGCAAACTCAATTAAAGTGCAGTAAATTCGAGTGTAATAAGCGACTAAAATATGCAATTATAGCCTATCATCAGATAGCAAATAAAGATAAAAGTTCCATTTACTTTGGAGGTGTCAGTAGAGAAGTGCAAGAGGAGATACTAGCAGCATCTGGATTTGCCAAAGGGAAATTGCCAATCAGATATCTTGGAGTCCCGTTGAGCACTAAACGAATTTCAATAATGCAGTGCAAACCAATGCTAGAGAAAATGATAGGGAGGATTACTTCATGGACTACAAAATTTCTATCATATGTTGGATGACTTCAGTTGATAAAGAATGTACTCTTCTCAATCCAAGTCTTCTGGTCACAAATCTTTGTGCTACCAAAGAAAATTGTTAAGGTAATAGAAGCAACATGCAGAAGTTTTCTATGGACAGGCACATCTGATATATCAAGAAGAGCACTACTAGCATGGGAAAAAGTATGTTGGCCAAAGACAGCGGGTGGATTTAATGTACTGCATCTGGAGACCTGGAACAAGGCTGCTGTTATTAAACTACTGTGGAACCTATGCACAAAGAAAGATAAGATGTGGGTAAGGTGGGTCCATATATACTATGGGAAAGGAAGAAATATTTGGGAAGTTCAAGTCAATCAAGCCTCCTGGGTTCTAAACAAGATACTAAAAGCTAAAACATATCTGTCAAAGGCACGGTTGTGCATCACTGATCTGTTGAAAATGAATTCATACTCCATAAAAGTGATGTGCCATCAGTTGAGAGAAGACTACCCTAAAATGCCATGGAGGAAACTAACTTATAACAACTATGTTGTACCTAGGTGGGGTTTTATACTAAACCTAGCACTACAATCAAGGCTACATACCAAAGACAAGGTAGCAGTCGTACTGAATGCAAGGTGACTAGAGAGGTTTGGGAAAGATTATTGAAATGGAAGGGGATTCAAAGATCAGTAATGACATGGAATGAAGAAGTGGAATGGGCAACAAAGGAAATGAAGGGGAAAGCACCGAAGGCAAAAGTATATAGAATGACATTAGCAGGCTGCATCTGCTACATATGGACAGAGAGGAACTCAAGAATATTCAAGGCTAAGTCTCAGCATGTAGAGGGGATACTTAGATCATTAATTCAGGTCATCTTTCAGAGAGGCAACAGGAAAACTAAGATAAAATGTAGATTGAGTGAGCTTAATAGTTATCCATAGGCGTAAGAGATATGGATATAGTGAGGAAGATAAGATGTTCACTGCAGTTGGGGCTTCATGTCCAACTTGCAGGCAATAGCTTAGTGGTTCTCCAGTTTTGAACTTGTACATATTTGATACTTGGTAATAAAATTCTTTAATTACCCAAAAAAAAAAAAAGAGGTTTACCTTATTATTAAGAGGAAAAGACTTATCTTATCGATTAAGAGATGGACACTGAACTTGCCGATCATTTGAGTTATTGGATTGAAAATTTAATACTTATACATATTTAATAAATTTTTGAATACATACATTGTATGTGAACCAAAACAACTGACTCATTACTAGCTGAATCCAGTATATGAATCAAAACTACCGAATTTGGCTGAACTAATTACTAGCTTAATTGTACATCCGCCCCTGAGCCTGTGACTCATTACATATGTTCTTTTAGTTATAAGGTCCAATATTTTACTAGAGTATTAGACATCTTACGTTAAGACGTAAGAGATCAGTAATTTAAAACACAAGAGATCTTTTTATAGTCATTTTCATTCCTATATAACTAGTTATTTTGTACCACTTTCTATAAATTTAGTTACATTAAGATGTTAAAAATTTAGCAAAACTGAATAGAGCACTTTCAAGTTAAAATGATCCATTGCCACGTGAAATCTTAGCCATAACAAAGAAAGAAGAAAATGTGCAACACTTGGATTTCGTCTGGACCGCGGTATTATTAATTTGCTGATATTCCAGATTTAGATATTTGATAATATTCTTAAAAGAGTCATATGTGTGAGTGACAAGGATATGATCTCGTTATAGGGAAGGCTTATTCGACAGTAGCATTATACTATTATTATTCTATTTATTTAATAAATTATTAGATTCATTGTTCTAATGACGATAAAAAGAACAACAAGTAGCATATTCTATCTTTTAGTTATCCTATCCATAGTTATACGACAATATTATTAGTAACTATGAGTACTTTGATCACGGGTGCGTGAAACATTAAAAAAGGAAGCTCGGTGCACTAAGTCAGGAAAAGGGCTAGACCACAAGAATCTATTGTACACAGTTTTACTCTGTATTTTTGCAAGAGGCTATTTTCACGGCTCGAACCTGTGACCTCCTGATCACATAGCAGCAACTTTACCAATTACGCCGAACCTGCGTTTCAAGGGTGCATGAAACATGAGATTGTGAAAAAACATCTATCATGAAAACGGAGAGGACAAGAATCAAAGCGATGTGCTGAATGGATGTGATGTTTTCACCCTAAACTTAAGGTTTTGGTTTCGCGTCTGGGAAGACAGTAATGCAACATGACACCATTGTGGGGGATTATTGAACGGTTGACCAAGTCAGCTCATTTCCTGCCAATCAGAATGACTTACTCTATGGAAAAGCTAGCCCAAATATATATTAATGAGATAGTGCATTTATATGGAATACCATCATCTATAGTATCAGGTAGAAATCCACGGTTCAATTTAACCTTGTAGCAGAGCCTACAGAGAAGGCTTTGGGTAGAAGAGCGAGCTTTAGCACAACCTTCCATCCTTAGATCGATGACTAGTATAAGAAGACCATCCAGATATTGAAGGCTATGCGAAGGTAATCTCTTGATTTTCGAGGTTATTGGTCATGAAGAAACTTTAATTGAACGATATGAATCTAAATAAGTTCGGTCAGCTAATTTCGAATACCATATAATTATATATGGGGAAAAATAAAACTAACAAATAAAGAGATAAGTGATAGTACACGAGGATTGAGTTGGCAAATTTGGCGTTTTTTATTATTTGTGGTTAGTTTAGATTCCTGTACTAAATGGTCAATTGGACTGCAACTGCACCTCCGTTTTAAACCTAAGACAATCTACATGTCGAGGGCTCTCTCTCTTTTTTTTTTTTTTTCTTTTTTAATTTGGTTTTTCTGGTTGTCACTTTGTGATCAAGAGTAATTATTTGAGTTTACGTGGTTTTACGTTTTTATTCGCCTATTCAGATTAACTTTTTGTTCTAGCTCGATTTAGAATTCGCATATAAAATTGAATTGGTGATCAAACAATTTAAACAGTTAGGCGCAAAATTAAATAAATAACTAGCTAGCTCGTAAAGCTAAAATCAAATCATTTAACCAAAGATAGGAATCACAACATTCATATCAAGTTTCTCATGGCACGAAAATAACAACTGATTTAATAAAATAAAGGGTAGAAATCAAGAAATGGAGAAAAATAAAGAACTCTATTCAAGCCTCCAATTCCCATAGCGTTAGCCTCCCAAGAGTTCCTCCAAAGTTTAATAAAAAACATCCCAAAAACATAAAATTGAGGACATAAAATGGAATAACTGAAGTATAGTTCTATAATAAGATACCCCTTTAATTAAATAAATATGAGCATCAATACTTTTACATGTAACTTTGTAACAAGTAAACTCCTCACATTGACATCCATGTATTACTAAGACATTATTTCTTAATGAGTTTAAATTATATATTCCGTCAGTATAAAGTATTGTTTACACTATCAGGTCATCCAAAAGATATCTACAGGTAAGTTTCCTTAAAACATGAGATTTGTAATCTTGAAAGTAAAATATGTTACCAGTAAATGGGACCCAATAGTGTAAAAAAATTTCTTACACTAACGATGTATATAACTTAAACTTATTTATAGGCGACGGCCACCGGTACCACCTTCCCTATTGCAATTGAAGTAAACAGCAGCAACAGGCAAATTGAGATTATGAAACCTCGCAAAGTCTCTTGTGTTAAAATTCTGACGAGAATCAATTATATCAGGAGCATTCACAACCCCTCGATCCAATTGCTGAAACAGCACGAAAATATAGCGATGAATTCCCAATGAAGGCCGTGGACTCTCGTATCGTACAATTTCATTGCCTGTACATAAATTAAAATAACCGACAGATGTATAATTTATGTATACTGGCTAGGAAACATAAACAACAAAATCCGTATATTTGTTTAAAAGTCCTTTTTTTGTATGTCATGTATGCACGATTAATCTTTCTTGTGAAAATAGCATGGGCTAGCTAGTTTTCGAGCTGGCAATTGAAATAACCAGCGTTTGCAAAGTCATTGAAAAATAGCCACTATTTTACCGAAACACGAAAAGTTCCAGTATTATATGCTGGATTATGGAGCTCCTGCGTATAAACTCCCAGCATATTATGTTGGAACTCTGAAATTCCAGCATAATATGATGGATTATGGAGCTTCCGCATATAAATTTCCAGCACATTATATTGGAACCGAGTATAACAATAGAATCACTAATAATTTCTACTCCTACTATAAGAGTAAATTTATAAAACTATTTACATTAAAGAAACTGAATATATATATATATATATATATATATATATATATATATATATATATATATATAATGAACTTACTGGGTATAATAAATTATACTTTCTCTAAGGAAAATCAGTTTCATGGTATTTATTTATTAATTGGTCGTAAATATTGAGTGTAGAGAAATTTTTAACAAATATTCAGTCCTAAAGAACTCATGAGTCAAGATTAACTTTTTTTGTAAGAAACTTACCAAAGTTTGCTCCTGTGGTTGCTGGGATATCTGTGACTAGCCTAGCAAAAATTAATAAACCAAAGTCATGATTATATATAAAGTTCAAAAGTTTTGTAATACAATTGTTTTGAAAGGTTTGCATGCAATAATACACGCTACGCTTGATCTTAAACTAATTTTAGTGTTCAAAAAGCATTACATAGAAATAAAAAAACTGCCAACGTGAATAACGAAGTACAACTGTGAAAGTTTGGAGTACAAATGTCAGTGCAGCACAAAGCCAAAACTAAGAATAATATTTTCTTGATATTCTTTTCTTTTTATAGTCCACCCAAAAAACAACAATTATTACTATTACTATGTCTTAATCCCAAATAAGTTAGGACATTTTTTAATTAAATTTTGTATTTAATAATAATTTAATTTTATTCTGTGATGATTTATAGCCGCAAAAATACTATGATTTATATTAGAACACAAGTTTCAAAAGGCTTTTTTCATTCTTAAGCTCCGTGAGAAGTTATACACTATCACGTAAATTGGAATGGAGGAAATATTTTTCTCTTTTAACAAAAAGAATAGAAAAAAATAAGAAATGGACCATAACCTTACCAGTGCAGATACTCCCTCAGGTTTGGGTCGCTAGGGGTTGGAGCATCTGGATCCACCATAACCTTCCAAAAAATGCATAGAGGATTTCAACTATCTTGAAACCAATGACAAATTAAGAAGATAATTTCAATTTATATTGATCATGTAAAAAAAAATTATATTAGTGTAATTTGGAGAAACCACGTAAACTCAAAGGAAGCATCAGCGAAGGTAAACCAATTTAAATTATAAAAAAAAAGTCAAACTCAGGATGTAAGTGTTGGAAAAATATTTGAGAATGGAAAAAAGAAGAAATTAAATACTTTAATCATGGTCAGGGCTTTATTTTAGCTAATTAATTGATTTTTAACTATGACAAGTATTTCCAATCCATGTAGGAACTTGGAAAAATGGAGAGAATAAGGCCTCATTTGTTTTTTTTTTAAGATTAAGACGTCTGAATCTGAATACACGTCTGAACATCAAGATGTGTATTAAGATTAAGACATCTGAATCTGAATACATATCTGAATGTTAAGATGTGTATTAAGATCTGATTACTAAATGATTAAGATTGTTTGATTTTTAATATCTGAATGTATAAAATTTACGTTTATTTAAAAATTAATAAACATAAAATTCAAATAAAATACTAATTAATCTAATATTCAATCACTAAAATATATAGCTTTTTAAAATATGATAGTTGTTGGTGGTGATGGCTAACGGTAGTGCTTGTGGCTGCCAACTAAAAGTGGTGGTTGGTGGTAGATTTGGTTGATGGTGGTAGCTTAGGGTAGTAGCTAGTGGTGATTGGTAGTAGTAGCTATTATGATTGATGATGGGGTGGTGGGTGGTGATAGTTAATAATGGCGGATGGTGGTGGTGGTAGTTGTGATTGAGGAAGATGGTGGTGGGTGGTGGTAGTTTATAATGATGGACAACGCCAGCTATGGTTGTTGATGATGATGCAGTGATTAGTTGTGGTGGATGAGTGTAGGTTGTCATTGAAAATGATGGTGGTGCGAGTGGTGGTAGTCGACAATGGTGGCGGCTATAATTGAGGATGATGGTGGTGGTGGTTGAGTATAGTGGTGGTGGGTGGCATGGTGGTAGTTGATAATAGTAGGCGATGGCGGCAGTTAACAATGAATATGGATGATATCATCTTATTCAAATTAAGTCTCTGTTACAAATCTTAATGATACAGACCTCAGACCCATTAAGTGGTTATGAAATAAAAAAATCAAACACACTTAACTATTACGATCTAAATAATTAAGATTCAGATTTTTTTTAAAAATGCACTTAATGTCTGAGATCTGAATGATTAAGATTCAGACCTCCATTAAGTGCAAACAAATGAGGCCTAAGAAATGGACCAAATAAATATTTGTGTGGTTATAAATTCTTTCATTAAGGGTAAAGTAGGAAGTCTAAAATTAAATTATTACTAAATAAGAAAGTACGACATTCTTTTGGGAACAAACTAAAAAGGAAAGCACGACACATAAATTGGAACAAAAGGAGTACTATATTCGCTTATGGAGTAGCTAGTAAGGAAGAAGAGACAAATTTTTTAAAAAAAAGTACAATCTAGTGCACAAAGCATCTCGTATTTATGCCGAGTTCGTAAAAGGCTGACACCCCAAGGAGGTGCTACCCTGGCATAAGGATCGGTAACTAATTCCATGGCTCAAACTTGTGATCCATATAGGTTACAAGGAAACACATTATTCTAAAGGGCAGCACTAAGCTCCCGCAATGTGTGGGGTCCGGGGAAGGGCCAGACCACAAGGGTCTGTTGTACGCAGCCTTATCCTGCATTTTTGCAAGAGGCTGTTTTCACAGCTCGAACCGGTGACCTTCTGGTCACATTGCATCAACTTTACCAGTTACGCCAAGACTCCCGAAAAAGAAAGAAGAGACAAATAGGAAGAAGAAAGAAAAGAACTTTACCAGAGTGTAAAAAGTGCGAAGATCATCTCCTCCAACGTCAACCCTAGGTTGGTTGACAATTTGTGAAGGCCTCAAACCACAGCCATTGTAGACCTGCACCCTATTATTGTAAACAACACTAAAGTCTACAGACCTTGTAAATGGATCTAAAACATCTCCTATTACCCCAGATACTATTAAAGGATCTAGTCTTGGCATTTTGATCACTACTAGAAAATCGTAAATTTCCGACTGATCGGCTAATATTGTTCGTGACTATAGGAGGAGGTAGCTACTTTTATATATGCTTTGTCTTTCTTTACAATCACAAGAATCTAAACTTTTTGAAGCTTTTCTCTAATGGAAAAACCATATATTCTGATCAATTGTCGGTTTGTATAGCTTTGTTTGACAACTACAAGTTATAAGAAAATAAACAGAACCTTTAGCCATGCATGGATTATGGTAATAACTGCCTCCTCAAAGAAGAATTAACTTAGATAATTGTTCATCCAACCATTTAAACTAAATATAGTCGGAAAATGTATTATATATATGTGTGTGTCACTGTTCCTTGAGTCGGGGGCCTATCAGAAACAGCCTCTCTACCTTCACAAGGTAGGGGTAAGGTCTGCGTACACATTACCCTCCCCAAACCCCACTTGTGAGATTACATTGGGTTTGTTGTGTTGTGTGTGTGTGTGTGTGTGTGTATATATATATATATATATATATATATATATATATATATATATATGTATATATATATGTATACTGTCACGATCGGAATTCCCACCGTCGGAACCGTGATGGCGCCTAATATTTCACTTGCTAGGCAAGCCAATATTAGAACAATTTATTCATTTTTCAACAGTTTAAATTAAATAATGAGAAAGGGCTGAAATAACTGCAATAATTCAAAGTAATGTGCGGAAGCTAAAATAGCTAAAATATCTAATACAACCTTGGTCCCGGTGTTACAAGTGCACGAGCTACTAGAATAATACATACAAGGGTCTGAATGAAACATAAAGCCGTCTAAAGGAAAATACACAGCTAAATAAAAGGAAATGGGACTCTAGGAACTGCGGACGCTGCGCAACTGTACCTTAAGTCTCCACAAAGTTGTCCAATCCGAGCATGCTAATAACCGCCGCTGGGACCGACTCTAAAATCTGCACAAGAAGTGCAGAGTGTAGTATGAGTACAACCGACCCCATGTACTCTGTAAGTGTCGAGCCTAACCTCGACGAAGTAATGACGAGACTAAGGCAGGTCACTCACACTACATCATGCACGAAGTATATATAATAAAGACAGAAAAAGGAAATACTAAACAAAATAAGACAGCTAGCTGAAGAAAATAGCTAAAACCTCAAAGGGAACCAGTACCGATCAGAATTACCAATCCTTAGAGTTCCGTATGAAAAATACCAAGAACCAACATAGTATAGAGAAATAGAAGCACATAGGTTGTTGCGGCGCGCAACTCGATCCTACCGTACAGCACAATCCTCCCTTATTCCACTGCAATAATATCACAATCATAAACAAATAATATATATTGTGGCGCGCAATCCGATCCCACTATATAACAAAACCAGTATCATAATCACCATTATTTCACCGTATCAATTCACCCTTATTTAACTTGTGTGGCATGCAACCCGATTCCACCATATCAGTACAGATTCACCCTTATCCCACTATATCAATCCACCCTTATTTCACCTGTTGCGGCGTGCAACCCGATCCCACTATATCAGTACCAAATATTCAATGAGCGCAGTCAAGTTAATAATTCAAATAACAAGAACCTCTGCGTTTGACGAATACAAAGCTGAATCAGAAAAGAAATCTTGTACAACATGAAAATTCATATATGTAATACTACACGGCAAGACAAGTTCAATAAATGACAATTAAAAGGTGCAAGTAAATCAATTATGGCAAATAGCAGCGAGTCATGAAAGCATGAAAAGGATCTAGCATTGTTAACAAGAGAAACAACGTTTAACATGTAGCAAATAAGTATGGAAGGCCTTTAGAGCATATAACAGTTAAAACATGGAAGAAAGTAATTAAGGAAATATGGAAAAATCAGGGAAACAAGTAATTCGGCGGCGTATAAGTACTCGTCACCTCGCATATACGCGGCAACACATGAAATTCACATAGCACATAGTCTGAGGGTTCCTAATTCCCACAAATCAAGGTTAAACTCAACACTTACCTCACTCCGCAGTCAACTCAGAGCTCTACCAGGGCCTTTCCCCTAGAATCCGCCTCCAAACCACTCGTATATAACCATAATTGACTCAATAATATCAAGTATTGCTAAAGTAATCAATCACAATGCATAAATTTAGAATTCCCACAATTTTTTCCAAAAGGTCAAAAATCGACCCCCGGCCCACTTGTTCCAAACCCGAAATTGGGACCAAAACCCGATTACCCATTCAACCCCGAGCCCGGTTATGTAATTTGTTTCGAAAATCGACCCCAACTTGAGGTCTAAATTCTAATTTACAAAAACTCCTAATTCTACCCAAACCCCCAATTTCTACCATGAAAATCCTAGATTTAGGTTGAAATCTTATGAAATGTAATGGAAGATTGAAAGAAAATAGGTTAGAATCACTTACCAATGAATTGGGGAAGAAAGGCTCTTGGGTAAATCGCCTCTAGGGTTCTCTAGGTTTGAAATTTGAAGAATGAGAGAAAATCCCGTTTTTTCCTTCTTAAGTCTAGGCGCAAATGTCGCAATTGCGATCTGTGGTTCGCAATTGCGAACCCTGCAAATGCGAAGTCTTCACTTTTGTTGCCATTGCAATTGCGATGGTTTGTTTGCAAATGCGAACTTGGACTCCTCGCAATTGTGACCATATTGATCGCAATTGCGAACTCTGTTAACCCAGCCCCACTTCGCAAATGCGAAGATTTTCTCCGCAAATGCGATCATGACAGGCTTCGCATTTGCGAACACTAACCTTGCAATTGCGAGGTCTGAGACCTGCACCAGAACTGAAGCACACCAGCATTGTTTCTAAGTCCAAATTCACTCTGTAGCCTATCTGAAACTCACCCCGAGCCCTCGGGGCTCCAAACCATACATGCATACAAGTCCAAAAATATCATACGAACTTTCTCGCGCGATCAAATCGCCAAATAACACCTAGAACTACGAATCGGACACCAAATCAAATGAAAACTTTAAGAAAACTTATGAACTTCTATTTCAACAACTGGACGTCCGAATCACGTCAAACCAACTCTATTTTTCACCAAATTTTACAGACAAGTCATAAATATAGTAATGGACCTATACCGGGTTCTGAAACTAAAATACAGACCCAGTATCAACAAAGTCAAACATTGGTCAAACCTTCAAAGTCATTAAGCCTTTTAACTATCAATTTTCGACAAAAAGCGATAACTCGAGCTAGGGACCTCCGAATTCGATTCCACGCATACGCCCAAGTCCCAAATCATGATACGGACCCACCGGGACCGTCAAAATACGAATCTGTATCCGGTTACTCAAAACGTTGAGCGAAGTCAACCCAATTGTATTTTTAAGGCAAAATTTTATATTTTATCAATTTTTTTACATAGAAGCTTTTCGGAAAAACACCCGGACTGCGTACGCAAGTCGAGGAAGGCTTAAAAAAGCTAACGGAAGCTTCGAAACACAAATTTAAGGTCTAAAACTTTAGATGACCTATCGGGTCATGTACTGGCTAGGAAAAGTAAACAGTGAATTCGGCCGCCTATCTGTGTAAAGATCTCCTAACTAAAATGGCACTCATCCAATAAAATAGGCTTTTTCACTTTTAGCTCGCACCAGAAACTATTTACATTCGATAGCCAAAAAAGTATATAAAATTTGGGTAATTTTTTTATATAACATGCAGAATGTATATTGACATTACACTAAGTATTAGTGCATTAGATAATATTATATCGAATATAGCTTTTATATATATATATATATATATATATATATATATATATATATATAGACACACACACACAAATATGCATTATTGCATATTATTTTGAGAGCGTCTATATAGTGTCACTTTCCCAATAATTAAAAAGCTCAACCCGGTGTTCACTGATATTTACACTAAGCTATGAATGAAAAATATGTGTCTCTAATTGTAATATTATTTGCTTAATCATGATTAAGTGATATATCTTATTACTTTTATAATTTGTAACTGTCAAAGTTAAATTTGTTGGTTTGTAACCAATTTAAATAGTCTAAGAACTTCTGCAATAAAACCGAAGGTGCTAGGCATGAGCTTTGAAGAAATATGTGATCATCTCTTTTTAAAGCTTAAGTTATGAGAGAGCACACTTTTTATTATTTAATTATATCTTAAACAAACATGATTAAGATCTGAATCTTTATTCAGAAATAGGACATTTTTGGGGTGTGAAAGATGATGAATGAGTAAAATACACTCTTATTTTTGTCGGATCCCTTTTTCTGCCCGTTTGTTTAGTAAATATTCTTTTTGAACAAATTAGAAATGTTATAAAAAAAACGTTAGACCACAGTCTGATATTTTATAAGCAAACTGAAAATTATATGAACAAACATAGAAAAAAGTCTAACGTTCTTCGAAAGGAATAATTTTTCAAAAGTTATATTTGCACTGGCTTTTTATAGAGCCAAAATCTATAAAGTAAATCAGCCCAAAATGCTAGATTCATAGAAAATGATGGCTTGGCTAACCTATTGGATTTGCTTAGCCCAAAAGTAGTTTATAATAGCAGAAGATATACTTGCTTTTTTCTATTTTTTGAAAGTTAATCTTGAAAACGGATGCCTATGTCTTCTTTACAACCACATGTTATTCTATGAATCTTTTGAATGTAATATAGATGAAAAAAGATGTCCACGTGTCGTCTTTATCACCACAAATGCCTAAAAGACCTCTGGATTCCAAGGGATAAGAGACATCAAAATGTTTTCTTTATTTATTGGGGCTTTTAATTACTGAAGCCAAAAATTGTGAGATGAAAAGGAGGAAAATTACTTTTATTATTCCAGCAAATTAGGAGGTATGGATTCCAAGCTATGACCTAAAAGAAAAATTGGGTCACCTTTATTGCTACACAATATAAGCTTCTTGTGACGACCAAATCGGTCGTTTTGCTTTCTGGATCCTCGTTCCTCTAATTAAGACTCCCCATATGTGTTTTTACTGTTTTATGACTTGCGTGGATGGTTGGT